TCTGTCAGATAGATGTAAACTCATGACATCATTGATACTGGAAAACAGAACATCTTTGAGGGAGCTATGACCTTCTTCTTCCTTATCCTTGGTATTCTTGTAGGAGACTTTAGGAAAATCAGAGAAGTTTTAGGGAAGTAAAGTTCTGCTCACCTTTGTGCTTCTCAATGGTGTCTACCAGGCTTCTACACTCTTCTACAATGAAGTCCTCTATAGCCTTCTTGCCCATTCCGAAGTCTCGTAAGGTTGTGAGAGTAAATCTTCGCATCACTTTCCAGTTTTCCCCATTAGCGAATATAAGTCCTGAAATGGAAAACAAAAGCACAGAATTAGAAATTTCAGAAACAGGTAAAGATCCCTTTCCCACTCTGGATCCTGGCAAAGGAAACACTTGGAAAACTGGTAGGAAACACTTCAAACTCTCAAGGTACATTGCATCCTCACTTAGAGTGAAATGAGACAGGAAATAAATGCTGGGTGAAAGCTATGAGAGAAGCAGCCACTGCTCAGAGTTCACATGATTGCTGATGCCTTTCGATAGACTAAGGATTTTGTTCATCCCAGATTAGAGCAGAGACATAAACTTCTCTTCTTTGTGGAAGTTAGGTGTGCTTGTTATCACACATGTCCTCTTTGGGAATAGATGCAAATCCTGCTAGGGAGTGCAAGTGTTCTTCCATAAACCATAGGAAATAAGTGACAGCCTCTGATGTGGGTATCTGTGTGGAAAATATTCCCACTTGGTCAAGTGAATCCCATCCACATGCGTCCTAGCAAAGCCACAGGAATTCTCATTGACATTTTCAGAGAAGTTTAGATAAAGCAGGTGCTGCAATTTACTTTCCTTGCACCTCTTCCTATCATACTCTCTTATTCTTGCTGAGAGCCTTTTCCAATAAACTTTCTCCAAGTCTCCAAGTCAACATGGCTTGACTTCTAACAACATGTAAGTTACTCACAGTTGGTCACCAGACACAAAAGCGTCCATCCTTGTTCACCAGCCAACTCACCAGTTCCTTTTACTCTTTTTCCAAGGACTGGGATTTCAGGTCTCCCTGCAAATGCATCTGCCTGGTTCACCAGAGCTTCCTTCACTGTTTCGTATCCTGACAGCACTACCATTTTTTTTT